CTTACTCGTTAAGAAGAAATATTCTATATTATATTTTATCTTTCATAAATCCAGTAATGTATTTTATAAACTTCTGAAGGGAAAAAATAGAAACAGCAACAACAACATAAGCTCAGGAGACACACGTGCCCACACACACACACGTACACAAACACGCTCAAGAACTAAAGAAAACTCACTCATTCTCCCCTTTTCTGTCATCTCCTATTTCCTATCTCATATACTTTTTTCAACAAAGTTGAAATGTTACTTGGATAATTTTGTCCATAGTTTCTGCTGGAATGACTGCTTCCCCTAATAAAGTATGGGAAATGGGTAAATAGTATCCAGAACATGTAGCAACTATAAGATTTCTAGTCTTTTATTGTTCATGTTTTCCAAACTGGTAGTATATTAATTTTTTGATGATACTATAATGATTTGTTAAAATATACTAAATTAAATGAACATTCGTCTCAAAGTTTACCTGCAAAAATGTAGAATGAAAATTTAATCACAAAATCTTTTGCCATTTTTATACCTTCATGTTTATAGTTATTCCTTATAATACTAAATACTTTAGATGGATCTTATTAGCAAGCCATGTGTGTTAATATAGGGATTCTGAACCTCATCACGAATCACCTTAGTAACATCATCAAAAGCGAATCTAAGGCCTATTTTGCTCGGTCTGATATTTAAACATCTCCTGTGAGAACAGGTGTAAAGTATTTCTCCCACCTGAACAGCATGGTTCCCCTGCTGCACTCACGGTTTTATCTATGAATTCCCTAAATATAGAGATACGAAGTAGGAATGTTGTCATTTTTGTTTCTCTGGGTAAACAGTTCCTGTGGGTTTTATGAAATAGTCTACTGTATTGCTTAAGGATTAAGTGGAAAACGTAGAATAAAAGTACTATTATAGAAAAAGATCAAAACACAGTTTTCAGTTGTTCACTTTTCTGATGTATAGTGTAAAGTTTCAGAAGTCAAGTAACATCACAGCAATCTTTTATTCGAGTCTGTCTTTGCTTGTTTCACATCTGTGCACTGTTAAGGTATGCTATTGCACACGCCTTCTTCAGATTAGTTTGGAACACATCCAGGGTATTTAATTAGGGTATAATCTTGTATTTGTGCTTTAATTAAATGACATTTTTGTGGTAGACAAAGTTATGCCTCATACTGTTTTTTTAAGGAATCTGTTAAAAAATCTCCCCACCTCCCTTTTGAATTATCTATAGCTCCAGGCAAATATAGTACTTAATACTAAATTGCTGAAATCTCATGTATTTTTCTTTACTTTATAGCTCATAAAAGCAGTTTATTGTTTATGGGGAAACATTATAGTATGAATAATTTATATTATTAAAAATACATATTAGGAGGTGATATTTTAATAAAAATGAATATTTAAAAATTACAGTTAATTTTTTAAATGTGGAGGATAGATTAATCTCATTTACAGTTAATTTTTAAAATGCAAATTTTTTTTATGTTGTGGTACACAAGGATATAAGATATAAAAAAAGTGTGGAGTTAAATATTTTTTCCTAAATGTTAAAATAGACACACATTCTGGGTGGAAGGACCCATTTATAATTTTGACCTAAAATGCACAAAACTATGTAAACCAAACTTGTGTACCCCTTTAATTTCCTGAAATTAAAAAAAAATAGATAAAAATCAGTTGGGCGCCTGTAGCTGAGCAGGTTCGAATCCACTAGATCTGGCAGGTTCGAATCCAGCCCGGGCCTCCCAAACAATGACAACTACAACCAGAACATAACCAGGCATTGTGGTGGGCACCTGTAGTCCCAGCTACTTGGAAAGCTGAGGCAAGAGAATCACTAAAGCCCAAGAGTTTGAGGTTGCTGTGAGCTGTGACACCATGACACTCTATTCAGGGCGACATAGTGAGACTGTCTCAAAAAAAAAGACAAAAATTAATGAAACAAAACAAATGAATAAACAGTATTTTAAAAATATCATTTAAAGTAACTTTTCTGCTTTTATTCAGCTTATTGTAAGGTTAGTCTTGAACTCCTGGGCTCAAGTGATCCTGCCTTTTAAATAAATTGGAAATGAAATTCATTACAAAACTTAACCTTAATTAATAATACATTTTATTTGCTTTTACTGGTCATGTAGCAATTCTGCATATATTCAACATTTGGAACTTGCTCACATCTGGTAATTAGTTTGTAGTGACCAATTTTAATAACATTTAAAAATGTGAATCAATTAAAATAAGATTATGATAATATTACTAGAAGATATTCAGATGTACAATGAACAATATTCTTTGTCTTTCTATCCATATTATTATACTCTTGCCTTTTTATTTGGTTTAATTCAATTTTGGAATTTTGCAATAATGGCAAATTTTATTGTTTTAAAGAAAAATGCATATTTATGTTAAGTGTGCCTTGATATATTTATAGAAAAGAACCTACTTTTGATGATGGTAATAATTTGCTTATTAGTTTCAGAAATAAAATATTTTATTTTTTTAAAGATAGGATCTCATCTGGAATTTAGAGGCATAATCACAGCACATTGCATCCTCAAATTCCTGAGCTGGAGCAATCTTCTTTCCTGTTTTAGCCTCTTAAGTAGCTGGGTTTACAGGCATGTGCGAAAATGCCTGGCTAATTTTTAATTTTTTTATAAAGATGGGACCCTGCTGTATGGCTCAGGCTGGTCTCGAATTCCTGGGCTCAAGTACTCCTGCCAAAGCTTCCCAAAGGGCAGTGATTACAGGTGTGAGCCACAATACCTGGTCAGAAATAAAAATTTAATATGGCCTTGGTTGCCACAAAATAATCACAGTTTCATAAAAATCTTCTTGGATGACATGATTTAAGATCTTATCACTGTTGTGGCAGTTAATGAAATAATTAAAAAGGAAACACATCCCTTGTGTCCATCCAGGGCTCTGTATACAGGAGGCTCAGTGTCACTGTTTATGAAAGCTCCTGACCTTGGAATATTGCATTTTTAATGCTATCCTTGATATGTTCATGTTCAAGACATCAAGACTTCTAAGATATTTTATTTATACATTTTGCAAAATACAGCCTTATTTAGCACTTTAAATTGAAGTTACATTTCATAAACTATTTTGTACAGGCTCATGCAGTGAATTAATTGTCATTGTGTTTTAACATCTTAGTAAATGGGAATTCTGTGACGGTGAGTGTAATGCTTTGTGCAGGTGCTACACATCACCTCTTTTGTGAACTGAATCCACTTCATTTTTATGACCTGAGGAAGTTTAAAGGAATGAATCTCATCAATCTTAAATTTTCTATAACAAATATTTCTGTTAAACCTTAGCTTTTTCCTGTATTATGAGCTCCTTTGAGTTTTCTTGCTTGGAATGCAGTTCTTAACAGTTCATCTATAATATATTTTTTAAATGTACTAGTTTTCTCCCTCTTTTTCTTATTCTCATTTTAACTTTTCCTTTTGTCTTATTCTCCAGCTACAGTTATAGTTTCTCCCCTGTTTATAAGAATGTTTTCAGGAGGACATTTTCTCCTTTGGGCTTGGCAAACCCTTCTTTTACTCTCTCCTGTTGCATCTCAGTTAATGTAACTAAGATTTACTCATCCTTACGCAGTGTCTTTGAGTATTTGTTGGTTAAGTCAGTACTTGTGAAAATGAGGGCCTGTAGTTCATAATTAGCCTTTCCTGGGGATGCTGTTTCTAAACTACAAAAAATTAAAAATGAAAAACCTGAAATGCCTTCAGGGATGAGAAACTGAGGCATTAAGGGGAAGCCCTAGCACAGCGGTTCTCAACCTGTGGATCGCAACCCCTTTGTAACAATGAAAATACACTGTGGCATGAGGAAGGTTGAGAACCACTGCCCTAGCACACAGAAACAGAGGTACTGACAGTATCTGACAAGAGGCCCATGGGCTGCCACCCTGTCTCTGCCCTGGGATGGCTAGTTGCTGCTGTTACTACTTGTTCATCATTTTTATTATGATCATCCTCATTGTTATATTCAGTTCAAGTCTCAACAAGGGGAGGGTGGATGTATAGGTTTAAGTGATGACACATCTTAAAATTTCTCAGTGGATATGTTCTAAATGACTGTCCCAAAGTAGCTCTCCTGGGGAAATACTACACTGGAGTGGTCACATATGAATAAATCCACCCTCAGATTTATTGCTTTAGCACAGGGGTCCTCATACTTTTTAAACAGGGGGCCAGTTCACTGTCCCTCAGATCGTTGGAGGGCCAGACTATGGGCCCCGGGATGAGTCGGCTGTTAAGCAGGACAGGCAGCCGCAGCAAAAACACCCAGCAGGCCAGATAAATATCCTAGGCGGGCCACATGTGGCCCATGGGCCGTAGTTTGAGGACGCCTGCTTTAGCAGACATGTGCATGGAGAATTATATTTTATAAACATAAAATACTCTTGAGCTTAGTTTACTACTAAGACAACAGAGGGTATGTGCAGCTTTGCTGTTTCTTTTGTATATACTTTGCTTGTTCCACAGTAATACTTGGGTATTGACTTTAATAATGTGATTGTTATTAAGAAGACAGACATCTTTTAAATGCTTTGAGATACTCAGGTTTATATATGCAAATAATTTTATAGCTCCTCACAACATTTTTCTCATCAATTACCCTGCTTAGAACATGTTTTACTAACACATATTTTAAATAAAACTTCAAGGTCAATTATACAAAATATTACATATACATAATAAAAGGAACTCAGAATTGTCAAATTAGAAATGCGGAGGAAAAATCTCTATTCTGGTTTGCCCAGAGGCCCTCTGGTCTCAAATGAACCCCGGTCCAGGCAATCAAATACTTGACTGTTGACTTTTGCGAGGATCATTTTCACAAGAAATTTGCAAGGGTAAATATGAAGATGAAGACCATGCTTTCTGGTTTTTTTTTTTTTCCTTAAAGGTACTTTAAGTATTGAAAATAAATTATTTCCAAATACTAGTAGAATGGAAAATTCATATTGTTCTCTCTTCTTCAAATAGGTAATGTGGGTATGCAATTTATGTCGAAAGCAACAAGAAATTTTAACCAAATCAGGGGCGTGGTTCTTCGGAAGTGGCCCTCAGCAGCCAAGTCAGGATGGAACCCTGAGTGACACAGCCACAGGTGCTGGTTCGGAGGTACCCAGAGAAAAGAAGGCAAGACTCCAGGAGCGGTCGCGGTCTCAGACACCCCTGAGCACAGCAGCTGCCCCCTCGCAGGACACCGGTCCTCCCAGTGCACCACCCGACAGGAGCAAAGGGGCTGAACCCCCACAGCAAGCCCTGGGACCTGAACAGAAGCAGGCTTCAAGGTCTAGAAGTGAACCTCCAAGGTAAAGATTCATTAACCCTGTACATAAAGGCAAGGTTTTGCTTTCAGAGCAAACACATTGTCAATAGTTTAACTTCTAGTAAGAGGAATATGTGGAGAGGGTATTTCTGAGGCTCTGGGTCTGCCTTTGGGGTGCAGTCCTTAGGAGACCTCACTGACAAGCTTTTCTTTCGTATCATGCACGTGTTGCCTGCCTGGGTAAACATAAGCCAAGTCCCTCCACTGAGCTACTGGCTTCCAACCTTGAACTCAGAAAAGCTCTTAGATAATTTTGTATTTATAAAACTAGTCTTTTTTTTTTTAATTAAAAGTGTCCTCTGATAGAACACGATACAGGGACCTTACTTTTTGGAGTGTGTGTGGGCATAACAGAAAAGCCTTTTTTTGAGGGCATTTCTTTCATGTTGAGCTCTGAAAAGTGACTAGGTGTGTAGAGCGCTCCTAGTATCTACACAGGCATGCAGACCGAAGGTACAAGCCCTGTGCGAGAGGCCTCCTAAAGAACAGCCACTGGCCGGAGTACAAGTGGCAGAGGGACAGTGGGGAAAGGAGGCTGGTGAGGTAGTGAGAGGACAGGTTAAACTTTATAGCTTTTAGTATAGGCATAATGGAAAGCCACAGAAGATTGAAACAGGAGCTAATGTGATCGATGATTCCCTTCAATTTGAGATTCATTCATTCACAGAACGTATTTATGGCCAGACACGATGCTATGCAGGAGGAAACAGTGTTAACAAGGAGAACATTGCTCTTGTCTTCATGAGGCTTATGGTGATGGGCACTGGATTAATCCTAAGAAGGCTCCCAATCCTCTTTTCACACAAAACCTATATGATAAGATCAAGGACTTCAAAGTTAAATGGGTGTGGAGTCTAGTCTGGGCTCTGTCCCTATAGGCAGTTAACAACCCACCATACAGGGTGCAGCAGGTATTAGAGAAAGAACATTTGTTCACAAGCTGATATATGGCAGGCAGTCTGTGAATCCAGCTCTCATTCAAGCCAGTAGATCCTGTGTATTTACTAAAAATAAACACTGTGGCAGGGAACCAAAGGGTATAAAGACAGTTAGGACATGGTCCTGCGTCCTGTTTGTGAAAGGTCTTAGGGAAGCGTCCACACAATATCCTAGGGAGGAGAGACTCCTAAGAAATTAACCTGGATGCTGATTTGATCAAAGCTAGAAATTCAGATACTGTGTACTGTGAGAGTTCCAGGAAACAGGACATGACTTAGGATTTAATCTTTATTAGATCCAGGCGTGGTAGAGATAGACAGGGCAGAAGAGGACATCACAGGAAGAGAGACTCTTGTGTACCTAAACTATTTGGAGATGAGATAGAAAGGACACGAGATACTTCAGAAAGGTAGAATTAATAGCTTTTGGTGACAAATTGTTGTGCATGAAGAAGAGACAAAAACAGTGAAGGTACAGTTTGAGACTAGATAGAAAATGGTACCTTTAAAGAAGATAGAGAATTTGGAGCTGTAAAGTTTTCTAAAGAGAAAAGAGTTCTGTATTGACATACGGGGAAAACAACAAAAATGTCAGGAATGAGGACAAACAACAAAATGTCAAGAACTGACGTTTTACACCTGATCTTGCCAAAAGGCCAAGAAGCAACTGTTGTTTTGACTTTTTAATTGAAATTTGAAGACACCTGATAGGGGAAATATCTTTCCTGGTGATGTAAATACATAAGGAAGTAAGAGGAATGGGGGGAACGTAGGAGCAGGAAGAGAGGCAGGTGGCGGTAAGGGGTTGGGCAACTTTAGGGAGAAGATTGAAAGAATATTAAGTCTGCTCAACTTAAATTGCTGAGGAATTCTTTACCATACTTTGTGCATGGATCATGAGCTGGTACAAACAGAACAATTAAAGGTAGAGCTGAGAAAAAGTGTAACTAGTAGAGCAACGAATCAGAGGCTGGAGAACTCCTTTCATTTGCACAATACCCTATCCTTTCAAAAAGCATCTTCACTGATGCCATCACTTTTAATCCTCACAGGAACTCTGCGGGTAAGCATTATTTAACAGCATTTCAAGAAAAGTAAATAGATTTGGTACAAACTTCTAACAAGAGCAACTATGCCTGGTGAGCTATTAAATGTTTGTAGCAGTTGTTACTCTTATGAAAACTCTCCTTGACAGGGGGAATACGTGCTCCCAACATCATCAAACTGCAACCCTACCCTTGCAGTTCTACCTTCAGATAGAAATCCTGTCACTTCGAAGGACCAATGTGATCTAAATGCCTCAAGCTGAACCCACCATGCTTGCTTGTTTTGTTTCCCTGTGACTTCTGAAACCATTTACACCCTTTCTACCATCACCAGCCTCTCCCCAAACTCACCCCACAATGTATTTTAGCAACTGCTGCTTTTGTAACCCACAGTAGAAACTATCCCACTTTTCCCAACTTGTATCTTTTTCTCTGTTTTCATTCATGACATCTGCTTTTGGGCTTCCAATCAAATGATGTTCTCTCTGGAGAGCCTCCCTGTGGATCTTACCAATTCCACAAACAGCCTTAGCTTGCCTCCATTTATAATTATACATTAGATCATATAGTGTCAGAACATTTAGTCAAGGCACCTCATTTTGGTAACTTCTGGTATAATTGCTGGAATGTTCCCAAATCAGATGTACCCCGCTGTACAGAGGATGGAAAGGAACAACAGAATGGCACGTCTACGGGATTCAGAGATAGCAAAACCCTTTTATCTCTGCAATGCTCTCAACAGCATGGAAAGAAAAGTAGAAATTGCAGTTGTTTTCTTCTTTCGGGTTGTATCCTGAAGTAAGGGATAGGGAAAGGATAGAGGAGAGGGAGAGTAACAATTTCAAAGATTTAAGTATTTCTATTATTTTTATCCAAGGAAGGTAACATTAAAAGCTACGGCTGAACCATTTTTGACCTGGCCAACTCCATACAAAGTGTTTTGGTGCACCTTCTGAAGTTAAGATGACTTTGGTTCTACCATTGAAGAAATGCTATTAGATTTCATTTCTGAAGTAGACATACTTGTGTTCACATCTCTTTAGAAGTTTGTTACATTAAAAGGTTGTCTATATACCATCCAAATATCTATCAAGTATATATTTACTTTTGAAGTGATATGTACGTATTATCTTTTGCTCCTCCATTATTAACATCTATATTAGTTTCATCTAAAACGTTTTTAAGTCTTTGAATAACAAGCAGTCGTTAGTGGACAAGTTGTTCATTTGTTGAATTATTGATTTTTAAAATTGATCTGGTTAATTTATAGGAAATTTAAAATGTGCAACCAGTTGTTTACTTCCCTGAATATGTTGTGATCCAAGATAGATGCATTTGGAAAAATCTCACCTGACGTATAGGTATAGCAGCTCTATGCCAATGCCAATCCCACCCAAAGAACACAATGGGGGTCAGTCACTGATCCCAGAATAAATAGTACTAGAATTTACTAAAAAACCTATAGATTTTACATATCACTGTACAAGTAACTAAAAACACTTCAGTCACATTTTCTTCTTTTGATGTGTGGCTGGGACAGACATAGTTGCTGCACTCACCGCATGCCTTCATATATTTCCAGTTTGTCCCACAGGGACAAAGGTAGCAGCAGCCTTTCTTTGGTAAGCTTTTCACTGTTGTCTTGTAACTCTTCTTTTGATTTGGTATGAATTGTTCCTTTTGTCACCATGCCTTGTCCTGAATCACACTTGTACGTCCACAAAGGTTCAGTGCCATTGCGTAATTTTTTGGAGATGGTGTACATTTTGGGTGCATCTTCTTACTTCACAGAGCTGTCATGCCAGATCTTTCAAAAAGTATTTTCTTTCCCATTTCTTCAAACAAGAAAACTCCTTTGTTTCTTGAAAAATCATGTATGAATCGTATGCTGCAATGCCAACGACATTTAAGAAAATTGACAGAGGCCAAGACCAAGTTCCTTGGCAACAGGGTATGTTATCACACACATATCAAGTGTGTTAACACTGCTGTAGTAGCATTATGAAAGTGGATTACACCAGGCTTCTTATCCATCACCTTCATATCTTGATGCTGTGTAGAAAGTACTATAATAACTATGTTTACTCCCTTTGGATCATAACTTACTACGTCACACAGGGAGAGAAGGTAAATCTTAACTGCATCAGATAGAGAGTTTTTCATGAATGCTGGCCTGAGTTGTAGAGGCAAATTCCTTTTGTCACTGCAAACAGTACCGACTGTGGCCATATTCTCTTAAAGTATGTTGAAAGCCAGGGTGATGGAAGTAAACTTTCTATCCATGTTAATGTTCCTTCTGGACTGAGCCAAGTGAGAGTTCTGAACTAGTCTTTTTTGCAATCTTGGAGCCAACTGTAATTTCTTAGAAGATTCTTCAATTTCCCTGCATATGGTTCTGACGCAAAACAGTAGTTTGTAGAAGAGTCACACAGAAGATCCACTGCAATTCCAAACTTCCCAGGTTCAGTTGGTATGTAAAGTCTGACTGGACAACACCCATGGGAATATACCAGTTAGTTCCACAGTGACACGTTCGTGAGGATTATAGTAAAGCGTGAGCTTATTTATAACCATATTCCAAAGACAGCAAACTTATCATGCTGTCTGCAAGCTTTGTCTGCTGCAGTATTATCAAAACATAGGTAGACATTTCAGTAGGAGTCAAATTCTTGTGTTCTGAAAACACAGGATGGTAAACAGGAAAATTCTTCTCACTGAAAAGATCTCAGATATCATCTTTATTTTTCTTGTACACATTACAAATTAGAAGAATTCTAAGTAGTCCTAATATTTCTACTTTTACAAAGTCACAATTTTGTTTGAATACGTCCTTACATAACTCTCTGACTAGGTATAGTTTCTGGTTTTTAAACTTGACAGTTAAATCCACAGCTTCACTATCAATAAATAGCTGCAAAGCATCTTATGGAGTTTGGGGTTCTATCTCGGGTTCTATCTCTGATCGTACTCCTGGGTGAGTCCTCATAAAATCAGTGGATTGTTGTCTCCCCTGATCCTTCATCAGCCTGAGTTCAGATCATTCTTGATGGTGTCTCTGGAGGCGTGGTCTTCTCTTGGGCTCTACATTTTGCATTTCTTGTCCTCCATCGTGGTCGTCACCTTCTTCTTCTTCACTCTGTCAGACTGAATAATTTCATGTTTCACCTCTATGAATTCTTCTTGTTCACTCTCTGAACTAGTGAAAATGTCTTCATTTCCTTCGAAATCTAACATTATCAGTTCTCCCTTTATCTCAGCTACTGACAAATTCTATTGCCTCTTCACCTTATTTGTGTCTCAATCATGAGGAAAAAAAGTAAGTCATTGCTCGACACAGGTGAATTTACAGAATTATTGGATATTCCGTACTTTCAGTGATGTATACTTTGATCTCCACCAAACACAAATACACTCCTTACTAACTTCACTATGAAAAATGCTTAAAAAAAAAAAAAAGAGAGAGAGAGAGAGAGACTACACCACAACTCATCTCTGCAGATACGAAAGTGTCCAGGAACTTTTGACACTGGAACGCTGTCACTGACGGGTGGTTACAAAAGACATAAATGGTGGAACGGCAGCTCCACACAAAAACACACAACAAAACGTGGGGTTAGTCCCTACCGCCCCCCTCAGCATGCAGTTGTTAATGAATATGGTCCTTTATAATTTCGAGCATTAGAGATTGTAATTATTGTAACTAATTACAATAGTTAAGATGACTTAAGACCGAATGAGTAGGAAAATGTTTCTTAGGTCTGGTCTTTACGTTTTATAAACTGCGCCTCTTCTCGCCATTCCCTTGTACACCACAGAAAGAAGGCCCCGGGGCTTTCTGAGCAGAACGGCAAGGGGGCCCAGAAGAGCGAGCGGAAACGCGTGCCAAAGACCTCACCGCAGCCCGGGGAGGCGGCCCCGGACGAACGCGAGCGGAAGGAAAGGCGGGAAAGGAGGCTGGAGAAGGGCCGGTCGCAGGATTACTCCGACGTGCCAGAGAAACGGGACGAGGGCAAAGCGGCGGACGAGGAGAAGCAAAGGAAAGAGGAGGAGTACCAGACGCGGTACCGCAGCGACCCCAACCTGGCGCGGTACCCGGTGAAGCCGCCGCCGGAGGAGCAGCAGATGCGCATGCACGCCCGGGTGTCCCGCGCCAGGCACGAGCGGCGCCACAGCGATGTGGCGCTTCCGCGCACCGAGGCGGGCGCCGCGCCGCCCGAGAGCAAGGCGGGCAAGCGCGCGCCGGGCCCCGCCAGGGCCTCGCCGCCGGACTCGCCGCGCGCCTACCCGGCCGAGAGGACCGCGGAGGCCCGGGCGCCCGGCGCCAAGCCGCTAACGAACCACAGCCCGCCGGCGCCCCGGCACGGCCCGGCCCCCGCCGAAGCCGCGGAGCTCAAAGCCCAGGAGCCCCTCAGGAAGCAGAGCCGCCTGGACCCCAGCTCGGCGGTGCTCATCCGCAAGGCCAAGCGCGAGAAGGCGGAGACCATGCTGCGCAACGACTCGCTGAGCTCCGACCAGTCCGAGTCCGTGCGGCCCTCGCCGCCCAAGCCGCACCGGCCCAAGAGGGGCGGCAAGAGGCGGCAGATGTCGGTGAGCAGCTCCGAGGAGGAGGGCGTGTCGACGCCCGAGTACACCAGCTGCGAGGACGTGGAGCTGGAGAGCGAGAGCGTCAGCGAGAAAGGTAAGAGGCGGGCCCCGCGTGGGGCCGCGCGGGCGCGGGCGGGGCGGGCTGCAGGGGGCGGGGCCGCCGAGGGGCGTGGCCACGAAGGGGGCGGGGCGGACGAGGGGGATGTGGTTTCCTTTATTTGTGGGGTTTTAAAACATAAAACTACAAGCTAAGGTTTAGGTGTCTTAGGTGTTTAAGAGCTCTTAGTGATTTTATATTGTCATTCTGGGAATCTCTGTGTGTACTCTTCCATTTCTTAGGTATTGTTTTAGGTGGATTTATTGTTCTGGAGAAAACTTCTAGAAAATGAAAAGTGATGCCTTGAAGGTACATTTTTAAAAAATAGTGGTGTAATATTCTAATCTTTTGAAAATTTCAAATTAATCTTTCTCACACTTTGAGAAGAAATTACAGTTTACCCGTGGACAATACAGGTACACTTACTGTGGATTTTTAAAGCAAATGTATCAGAATTTTTTTTTGAAGATTTGTGAGAGTTTGAAAAACTGTCAGATGAACATGTAGCCTAGGAATATCTTTAAAAAAATCTTAAGTAAAAGGTAGGTTGTAAATGTATAAAATACAATAGATACCTTATTATAAAAAGTTAAATTTTATGAAAACTTGCACAAGGCCATACAAGCCATACATGGCACCATCTGCAGTTGAGAGAGATGTAAACAAACCGAAAGATGCAACATTAAATAATGCCTAAAATTAACTGTGGTACATACTATACTACTATAATGATTTCATAGTCTCCTTCTGCAAACTTAACTATTGTGAGCATCTGCTTAAAACTCTGGGTGACACTAATAACCTATTAACCTCCACATGAGCAGTACAGTGATCTTTTCTGTTCCTTGCATGTTTTTCATGATATTTAGTGTAATACCATAAACTTTGATAACACCACAAGATCCATATGAAATGCCAGTAGTGATGCTAGAAGTGGTTCCAAGAAGTAAAGAAAAGTAATAATCTTACCAGAAAAAGTTGAATTACTTGATTGCTTCAGACATGCCATACATTGAAGTCTACAGCTGTGTTGGCCACTGTTTCAAGTTAAGTACCAATGTTGAAAGGATATTTATGAAGCTGTTGTTGCAGCTGGCCACTTGGCATGAAAATGTACTTGTTGCAGAAGAACTTTTTGTCTTGGATTGAAAATAGAGCTTTTATATGAGAATGGGATTGCTATAAAAAGTGCATATTTACAGACTCTAATATGATTTAAGAATAAGCTAAGTCATTCTATTGATGGAATATAGCAAAAGGAAGGTGAAAGACCTAAAGGTGGAGAATTTAATGCCAGCAAAGGATGGTTTGATTGTATTAGAAAGAGGTTTAACTTTAAAAAAAAAAGTCAAGATAACAGGAGAAACAGCTTTTGTCAACCAAGAAGCAGCAGACAAGTTAGTTGCCATTAAGAAAATAACAAGAGAAAGGATATCTACCTGAACAAGTTATTGGTGCAGACAAAAGTGCCCTATTCTGGAAACAAAATGCCATGAAGGATAATTATTAGTAAGGAAGAGAAACAAGTTCCAAGATTTAAGGCAGGAAGGAACAAGCTAACTATGACTTCATACAAATGCTGTCTGTTCTTGCATGGCTAACACTACCTGAATGTTAAGGCTACAAACCCCTAAGCCTTCAAGGGAAAAGATAAACACAATAAGAAGGCCTTTTTCTGGACTTATTTTGTTACCTACCACTTTGGAGTGGAGGTTTTTCCATGTTCTTGGTGTTCCTCAAGAAAAGAATTTCAGGATGTAACACATAAGCCAAGCAGGCAACACTTTTATTGGAGGTAAAGTATACTCTCAGGAGAAGAGGAAGGCTCAAAGGAGAGCAGCTGTGCTGAGAGGAAGTTGGTTTTTTGATCTTTTAGAGTCTAATTAATTGAGGGGAGGAATAGTCAAGGCCAAGCGCATGGGTTTTGATAAGAATTTGGGTAGTAATTCCTAAAAGTGGAGTCTCTCCCATTTTCATACTTCATCAGGTTGTTTGGAACTGTCATAGTGATTTCAAGGACAGAGAAATTTTAAAACCATAACATAAATAATAGACTTAGGCAATGTTCATGGGAGGTGGCAGAGATTGCTGACAAACCAGTCAAAGTAGGTTCTTGCCTAAGGTTGTCAGTCCCTCTAGTTAGCTTCTGCTTGAGGGTTATCTAACATCTGCCCTTGATCATTAACCAGCTGCTCTAGTCTTGTGTCCTAGTCTCTTACTCTAATAGTTCTTTTGATGCTTTGTCTGTGAAGTTTCAAGTTATCTTTTCAGTAAGGGATTGCCTTTCAGGGTTCTTTTGGTATTGGAAAATGCCCCTGGCTAACCAGAACTCTATTAGGTTGACACCAAAGGCATTGAAGTAGTCTACATGCCCCCCCACACTAAAGTTTCTATATAGGGAGTAATGGGGACTTTTAAGGCTCATTACACATGGTATTCTATGGAACTGATTGCCAATGTTATGGAACATGGCCCTGATAGAAAACATCATGAAATTCTGAAAGGATTACACCATTGTTACAAAAAAAGCCATGAAAATCACCAAGCCCCAAACAATAAATTCCTGGTAGAGAAAATGGTATCCAGATGTTGTACATGACTTCACAGAATTTACAACAATCAAGGAAATCATGAAAGAGATTATGAATTTGGTAAAAAAAAAAAAAA